GGCATAAACAATTATTTAAAAACAACTAAAACTGAAGTGAGTAATATTAAACACTTTTTTCTTTATTTTATTGAGATGTGGCTTGCAAACATAGTTTTGTTGTTGTTTTTTTTCGGAATATCCTAATTATTCTATTAATTTAGGAATCGTTATAATAGATAGCTGATCATAATTGACTTTAAGATGAATTTAAAATCATTATCCATTCTTTTTATTGAATATAAGTTTTCTCTATTACCTTAATAAAAATAATTTGAGATCTAATTAGAACTGTCTTTAGGGAATTTAAATGGATGAACACCCAAAATTACAGATTAGATCAATAATTAAAATTTTATGGTCATTCAGAATTTTTAAAATTAAGTTAATTTGATTGAGAAATGGAATTCTGTTTGGAGTAAGATGTTGTAAAAGTCTTTGCTTTTTGATTAATATTATATTTTTTTTTAGTAAATAGAATTGAGACTTTAGATTTTGATTAACAAATTTTGAGACAATTTTTAGAAGAATTCTAAACAACCTCACCTATCAATTTTGAAGCTCTCCATAATTTAGGCTAGTTTGATTGTGAATATGATCCCTTTCAAATATCTGGTAAAACTCTTATTTGAGTAAATGTAAAATTGAGAAAAGATAGTCTATTTATTTTGATTTTTAGATCTTTTTTTTAAAATTTAATTTGCATTTTTTAAGTGTTTTTATATTTATTAATATTATCATAAAAATTCAAGATTTAATTTGACAATAAATTTCTTTTATTGCTTTTGTTTTAATGGAAAAGGAATTAATTATGACAGCTTGCAATACTAAATATTGATAATTAAAAATTTAAATTATGAATTCAAAATAAAAATCTTGATCTCAAAATAAATATTTTTGAATTCATTTATTAATTAAAGTGAAAATGCCTCTTCAATGTATGAATTCAATAGGATAATTAGATTCTACATACGTAATAGGATGTACAGCTATTACAACAGAATATATATTTAATGTTATGACAAATAAAGTATTTTGAATAAAATTATCTGAAATCAGAATAGGGTGATTGTTTAAGTAGGTCTCTAAATTATACTTATGGATAGCAATCAAATTAAACTTTGGGGCATCAAAGAAGGCCATCTCTCTGATAAAAAATAAGGATGGTGAATTTTCACACTTCAAAAAAAATTTTTCTTTAAACACAATATATTGGAGTGTTTATCTCTTGTATTTTATCTAAAGTTTAAGTAGATATTGAAAATGAATTATTTTATTATAAGAGTTTAACCACAAATCTGCATAGAAAATCATAAGGAAGATTTTTCAAAGGATCCTAGACATAAGCGAAATAGTATAATGATCTTAAGTTTAAAGTGAAGAATATTCAGTAATAATAAAAGAAGGAAAAAAAAATAAAATAATTGAATATGTTGAAAAATGAATTTAATTACTGGAAGATAATTAAATTCAAGAGGAATAATATGTAGATAATCAAGTGATGAATATCATATTTTTTTTTTATAATAAAATTGTTCATGTTTCTGATGGACAGCAATCTAATATTTCTCACATTAATTATGTTGAAGATAAATAATTGTTTATGCCCAATTTACAATAATAAAAGTGGAATAGGGAATGGCTTTCCTTATAAGTTTGGAGTAAAATAGAGCAAAAGCTTCATACAAACTTTATTTCTATCATAAAAAAATAAATATTATTGGTGCTGTTTGACAAGAATTATTTCTATTTAGTGTCGAAGAATAAACATTGAGAATAACTTAAAGTAATCTTTGAGAAATATTAATTGAAAAAGCTAATCATTGACAGTTGATAAGAAATGTTGCTTGAAAGTTGAAATATAGTGTTTAGTTTGAAGTAGTAAAAATAGATGAAGAGTGTTAACTGATGTTGAAAAAGAGTTAAAAAAGTTTAACTCAAAATAAATTATTTACAATTAGTAACATTTATANATAACTCAACTATCTGGAAAATAACTGATAAGCTTTTATAAATGTTACTAATTGTAAATAATTTATTTTGAGTTAAACTTTTTTAACTCTTTTTCAACATCAGTTAACACTCTTCATCTATTTTTACTACTTCAAACTAAACACTATATTTCAACTTTCAAGCAACATTTCTTATCAACTGTCAATGATTAGCTTTTTCAATTAATATTTCTCAAAGATTACTTTAAGTTATTCTCAATGTTTATTCTTCGACACTAAATAGAAATAATTCTTGTCAAACAGCACCAATAATATTTATTTTTTTATGATAGAAATAAAGTTTGTATGAAGCTTTTGCTCTATTTTACTCCAAACTTATAAGGAAAGCCATTCCCTATTCCACTTTTATTATTGTAAATTGGGCATAAACAATTATTTATCTTCAACATAATTAATGTGAGAAATATTAGATTGCTGTCCATCAGAAACATGAACAATTTTATTATAAAAAAAAAATATGATATTCATCACTTGATTATCTACATATTATTCCTCTTGAATTTAATTATCTTCCAGTAATTAAATTCATTTTTCAACATATTCAATTATTTTATTTTTTTTTCCTTCTTTTATTATTACTGAATATTCTTCACTTTAAACTTAAGATCATTATACTATTTCGCTTATGTCTAGGATCCTTTGAAAAATCTTCCTTATGATTTTCTATGCAGATTTGTGGTTAAACTCTTATAATAAAATAATTCATTTTCAATATCTACTTAAACTTTAGATAAAATACAAGAGATAAACACTCCAATATATTGTGTTTAAAGAAAAATTTTTTTTGAAGTGTGAAAATTCACCATCCTTATTTTTTATCAGAGAGATGGCCTTCTTTGATGCCCCAAAGTTTAATTTGATTGCTATCCATAAGTATAATTTAGAGACCTACTTAAACAATCACCCTATTCTGATTTCAGATAATTTTATTCAAAATACTTTATTTGTCATAACATTAAATATATATTCTGTTGTAATAGCTGTACATCCTATTACGTATGTAGAATCTAATTATCCTATTGAATTCATACATTGAAGAGGCATTTTCACTTTAATTAATAAATGAATTCAAAAATATTTATTTTGAGATCAAGATTTTTATTTTGAATTCATAATTTAAATTTTTAATTATCAATATTTAGTATTGCAAGCTGTCATAATTAATTCCTTTTCCATTAAAACAAAAGCAATAAAAGAAATTTATTGTCAAATTAAATCTTGAATTTTTATGATAATATTAATAAATATAAAAACACTTAAAAAATGCAAATTAAATTTTAAAAAAAAGATCTAAAAATCAAAATAAATAGACTATCTTTTCTCAATTTTACATTTACTCAAATAAGAGTTTTACCAGATATTTGAAAGGGATCATATTCACAATCAAACTAGCCTAAATTATGGAGAGCTTCAAAATTGATAGGTGAGGTTGTTTAGAATTCTTCTAAAAATTGTCTCAAAATTTGTTAATCAAAATCTAAAGTCTCAATTCTATTTACTAAAAAAAAATATAATATTAATCAAAAAGCAAAGACTTTTACAACATCTTACTCCAAACAGAATTCCATTTCTCAATCAAATTAACTTAATTTTAAAAATTCTGAATGACCATAAAATTTTAATTATTGATCTAATCTGTAATTTTGGGTGTTCATCCATTTAAATTCCCTAAAGACAGTTCTAATTAGATCTCAAATTATTTTTATTAAGGTAATAGAGAAAACTTATATTCAATAAAAAGAATGGATAATGATTTTAAATTCATCTTAAAGTCAATTATGATCAGCTATCTATTATAACGATTCCTAAATTAATAGAATAATTAGGATATTCCGAAAAAAAACAACAACAAAACTATGTTTGCAAGCCACATCTCAATAAAATAAAGAAAAAAGTGTTTAATATTACTCACTTCAGTTTTAGTTGTTTTTAAATAATTGTTTATGCCCAATTTACAATAATAAAAGTGGAATAGGGAATGGCTTTCCTTATAAGTTTGGAGTAAAATAGAGCAAAAGCTTCATACAAACTTTATTTCTATCATAAAAAAATAAATATTATTGGTGCTGTTTGACAAGAATTATTTCTATTTAGTGTCGAAGAATAAACATTGAGAATAACTTAAAGTAATCTTTGAGAAATATTAATTGAAAAAGCTAATCATTGACAGTTGATAAGAAATGTTGCTTGAAAGTTGAAATATAGTGTTTAGTTTGAAGTAGTAAAAATAGATGAAGAGTGTTAACTGATGTTGAAAAAGAGTTAAAAAAGTTTAACTCAAAATAAATTATTTACAATTAGTAACATTTATATAAAGTATCAGGAATAAAAATTTAACCAATTAATGAGTTTGTAAAGCTTAAAAAGGATATTATTTTTGGTTTAGATATTAATTAATTTCGTGAAAATCCTCTTGAAGTTAACATTAATTATATAGTTTAGACTGTTAAAAAAGATGTCAGTAATTTATAAATGTTAATTTTTTGATGTATGAAATACTTCACGTAGTTCTTTTAAGTTAATCAGTAATTAAGATTTTTAGTTGGTTGTTAGGGAAGATATAATAAGTATCTCCTTAAATCTTAAACCTTTTAAGGGATATAATAATTCTTGATAATTAAATTATATTTTCAGTCTATTATATTATACTATCTAATACTTTTAATATCAATTGATTAGGTAATGAAGGTATTAGCAAAAATAGAGTCCTAGATGATTTAAAGGAATGTAGTTTAAAATTAGTTTTCTTTAAGTAATTATATCGATTTTTTTTTAAACACTTCACTTACTGTTCTCTGTTTAGATTATTAATTTAATGTAGTTGATCTCTATAAATAATAATTGATAAATTTTTTTATGATATTTTAATAAAAAATCCCTATATATGCCTTAAATGGAAATTAACTAAGAAAAATAAGAACTTACTTACCTTAAAAAATAAAGATTAAGAATGACTTAAAAAGATATAATTAAAAAATATATTAGATATTGATTGTAATGATAATTGTTGTTTGATAATTTTCAAAATCACTTTTTCTATAAATCCTCTAAAAAGTAACTTCCTTTTTATTTAAACAATGTTTTTAAATCTATACCTGATTGATTAATAAATTTTCCTTACAAGATAAGTGTACCACTTGCTTCAAATTAAAGGTTCTAGCATATCCTAAGTATAGTACGATCTGGCTCATCTAAAAAATAATAAATAAAAAATACCATTTGGTAATAATGAACTATTCTAAAGTGGTATTTTAAATTATGCAAGAATATCTTTATAGTTTTTATCAGAGGATTTTATTTCTTTACCTGTCTTTACATCCCATAGACGGATAGACTTATCTTCACTACCAGAAGCTAATGTATTTCCATCAGGAGAGAAACAGACTGATAAGATTCCATTACTATGACCATCTAATTTAGCTTTTTATTATCCTGTTTTGACATCCCATAGACGGATAGAGTTATCATAACTACCAGAAGCTAATGTATTTCCATCAGGAGAGAAACAGACTGAGTAGACATAAAGAGTATGACCATCTAATTTGGCTTTTTATTATCCTGTTTTGACATCCCATAGACGGATAGAGTCATCTCTACTACCAGAAGCTAATGTATTTCCATCAGGAGAGAAACAGACTGAGTAGACACAACTAGTATGACCATCTAATTTGGCTTTTTATTATCCTGTTTTGACATCCCATAGACGGATAGACTTATCATCACTACCAGAAGCTAATGTATTTCCATCAGGAGAGAAACAGACTGAGTTAATACAACTAGTATGACCATCTAATTTGGCTTTTTATTATCCTGTTTTGACATCCCATAGACGGATAGACTTATCATCACTACCAGAAGCTAATGTATTTCCATCAGGAGAGAAACAGACTGAGTTAATACAACTAGTATGACCATCTAATTTGGCTTTTTATTATCCTGTTTTGACATCCCATAGACGGATAGACTTATCATCACTACCAGAAGCTAATGTATTTCCATCAGGAGAGAAACAGACTGAGTTAATACAACTAGTATGACCATCTAATTTGGCTTTTTATTATCCTGTTTTGACATCCCATAGACGGATAGACTTATCATCACTACCAGAAGCTAATGTATTTCCATCAGGAGAGAAACAGACTGAGTTAATACAACTAGTATGACCATCTAATTTGGCTTTTTATTATCCTGTTTTGACATCCCATAGACGGATAGACTTATCATCACTACCAGAAGCTAATGTATTTCCATCAGGAGAGAAACAGACTGAGTTAATACAACTAGTATGACCATCTAATTTGGCTTTTTATTATCCTGTTTTGACATCCCATAGACGGATAGACTTATCATCACTACCAGAAGCTAATGTATTTCCATCAGGAGAGAAACAGACTGAGTTAATACAACTAGTATGACCATCTAATTTGGCTTTTTATTATCCTGTTTTGACATCCCATAGACGGATAGACTTATCATCACTACCAGAAGCTAATGTATTTCCATCAGGAGAGAAACAAACTGAGTTAATACAACTAGTATGACCATCTAATTTGGCTTTTTATTATCCTGTTTTGACATCCCATAGACGGATAGACTTATCATTACTACCAGAAGCTAATGTATTTCCATCAGGAGAGAAACAGACTGAGTTAATACAACTAGTATGACCATCTAATTTGGCTTTTTATTATCCTGTTTTGACATCCCATAGACGGATAGACTTATCATTACTACCAGAAGCTAATGTATTTCCATCAGGAGAGAAACAGACTGAGTTAATACAACTAGTATGACCATCTAATTTGGCTTTTTATTATCCTGTTTTGACATCCCATAGACGGATAGACTTATCATCACTACCAGAAGCTAATGTATTTCCATCAGGAGAGAAACAGACTGAGTAGACAGAACTAGTATGACCATCTAATTTGGCTTTTTATTATCCTGTTTTGACATCCCATAGACGGATAGACTTATCATTACTACCAGAAGCTAATGTATTTCCATCAGGAGAGAAACAGACTGACAATATACAACTAGTATGACCATCTAATTTGGCTTTTTATTATCCTGTTTTGACATCCCATAGACGGATAGACTTATCATTACTACCAGAAGCTAATGTATTTCCATCAGGAGAGAAACAGACTGAGTAGACACAACTAGTATGACCATCTAATTTGGCTTTTTATTATCCTGTTTTGACATCCCATAGACGGATAGACTTATCATTACTACCAGAAGCTAATGTATTTCCATCAGGAGAGAAACAGACTGAGTAGACACAACTAGTATGACCATCTAATTTGGCTTTTTATTATCCTGTTTTGACATCCCATAGACGGATAGACTTATCATTACTACCAGAAGCTAATGTATTTCCATCAGGAGAGAAACAGACTGAGTTAATACAACTAGTATGACCATCTAATTTGGCTTTTTATTATCCTGTTTTGACATCCCATAGACGGATAGACTTATCATAACTACCAGAAGCTAATGTATTTCCATCAGGAGAGAAACAGACTGAGTAGACAGTACTAGTATGACCATCTAATTTGGCTTTTTATTATCCTGTTTTGACATCCCAAAGGCAGATAGACTCATCTCTACTACCAGAAGCTAATGTATTTCCATCAGGAGAGAAACAGACTGATATTACAGCTTCATCCTGACCATCTAATTTGGCTTTTTATTATCCTGTTTTGACATCCCATAGACGGATAGAGTTATCCCAACTACCAGAAGCTAATGTATTTCCATCAGGAGAGAAACAGACTGACATTACCCAATTATCATGACCATCTAATTTGGCTTTTTATTATCCTGTTTTGACATCCCATAGAAGGATAGAGTTATCTTCACTACCAGAAGCTAATGTATTTCCATCAGGAGAGAAACAGACTGAATTCACACAACTACTATGACCATCCAACTTATTCAATTCATGGACTTTAATGTTCTTCCATTTACAATTGAACATTTAAGCTCCATTAAAATTGACTCCACTAATATCCACATTCTCAAATTCTGATCCATTCAAATTACATCCTACAAAGTTTCCTCCAATTATAGATGTATTCTTTATTCTGATATTCTCAAATGATTAGTTCCTTATATCAACCTTCATGGCTACTAATAAACTAAGTCCATTTGATCCAGATTGAATAATCTTAACATCTATGCTTGTGAGGAGAACTAAAAACTTGATGAAATCTATGATCCCTTTGTTATCCTTCATCCTCTTGATTAGATCCGCCCTTTCCTTTTCATATTTCTCTTGAGAATAGTCATCCTTACTAAATTTATCATCCTAAAGATTTTTCAAGACATTTCTTATTTTTATTACTTACTTCTTGATCTCCTTTATATTCTCCTACTTATTGTTTAAAGATTCATAAAAATGATGATTGTTTGTCTTTGACAGGAATCCAATGATGTCTGAAACTTTTTCTTTTTTAAGTATATCAAGAATCTTCTAATATAAAGATTAATCTATATCTTGGATATAGGTTAGCATCTCATAAAGATCTTCCTTCATTTAATAAGCTTCTTCTAATTCTTCTTCTTGATTGGCTTAAATTCTACAATAACAAATATATACTTACTTGATTAATGATTGGATCTATTGGATTCCTTAGTTAGACTTCTCAATAAAAGCCTTTATATGTTGGTCCCACCAGCTCTTGGTCTTATCTAACTCCTTCATATACTTCTATGATTAACTAATTAATTTTTCTTGATTATCTTTAATATTTTGGCTAAATGTCTTTTGTAAAGTTGCTTTGTTATGTAAGATTTTATATGTCCAAAACTTAACTTGTTCTTACCTCTCAAATATAGGTTGGTACCTCTCATGGTGAAATAGTGGTCAAAATATTATTGACTTTTTTCATCAGCTTAGAGGGGAGTATTTTAAAAAGTGAAGAAGTATTTTTTGTAAAAATTGCCCCTCATTTTTATTGTAGATGACCCAATTTTTTATCAAACAACCCTGACTGATGTTACTTCTACCTTAACCCCATAAAAACCTTAGGGGGAATAATGAAGATTTACTTTTTGGAGGTGTGAAATTTCTCTCCACATTTTCTCCATTATTTTTAAAGATGAAATACTAAGGTCTTCAGTATTATTCTTAGAATTGTACCTGCTATAAAATGAGGTATTATATGTATGTAATTATGAATCAATAAATTTTTAACAATTTTCTTTGGGTGGTGTTACCTCTTTATAA